CGGTCTAACAGGCAAACGAGTTTAGTGAACTTTGGATTCACATCACCAAGAGATACTTCCTCAGCTAGAGTACAAAAGAAGTTATCTCGCTGGTATGTGTAAATATTGAGCGGTGGAAAGTAGGATAATGATTTGTAAAGTACAAATATCCAATAAAAACTCATATCTCAATCATATTCATATTCATATATGAAAATATTTTCCAGAACTGTATAACTGTCTGTATATCGAATTTGCCTAAGTCTTGTCTTACATTTAAAAAATCTCTCCCAAATATCTAAAATTCTCAGGATCAGCCTAACGTACCTTAACCTTAATAATAAGGCAGATTAGCCACTTTTACCTGTTTGCCAACTTGCAGCAACATTAGATTACGAAACCCGTTTTCATAATCATAGCCCAGTGATCTCTGGACTTTTTTATTCGTGAAGATCCATGTGCAACTATTGTGTATCTTTATTCTTTTATTAAATTCACAGAGCTTTGAATTATGAGTGTTATTTTTCCAGACTTCACAAATATCGTTATTATGGAATCGATAACGCATGGGAGTATGGAAGTCTCATAGTTCAACCTATGTTGCATACCTAGTCGTTGAGCGTTTGCGACCCTTTGTAGAGGTGAGCCAACCCGAAGGAGAGAAGCAGAGAACTGGGTAGCTGCAGTAGAGTCTAAAATGCGTTTATATACGAGGTAGAGCCAAAGCAGTGAATATAAAAGCAAGGAGACCAGTGCTAGATTATTCACATATGTTTGAATTTATATAGATTTCAATAGTTACAGAAGTAATAAAGGGAATAAATAATGTTATGAAAGCCCATACTAGACGAGATATTGACACCTAGTACACAGTGATCGTTCTAAGGAAATGAATAAGCTTCTATTTTGCATATGCTAAACATCCCCAGGGTAAGAAAACATTAGTAGCAACGTTGCAATAAAAATATCCCCATGTTCACAAGACAATGGATTCGATGGGCTGTGAAGTTTAGGAGAAGAAAAGGATATTAAGACGGAGTCCGTCATCCAACAACTTATATTGGAGTACATTTCATTTCGTTTGAAGACATTCGTCAATTGGCCTCACCGGAAGCTGTAGGGGATTGCCTTTGAGCTATGACTGGAAATTTGTGTGAATAGGTACTCGGAACACTGCCCTGTGACTCAAATGAATACTTGCTGAGCTTTAGTCCGCCAGGTGACAGAAATCGTCAGAGCAGTACAACATGCTTAAAGATAAAACACCATGACGAACAAATGTTCAGTGAGGATTTATCGGGGTCGCATGGCGGTGTGCCAAGTATCTATTCGCACAAATCTACAGTCCAAGGCATTCCTCTCAAAGCTTTCAACCTAAGAATCTTTTCAACTCGCTTCTTCAATTGAAATGTACGATATTCCATCATCAATCTATTAAGAGAGTCTTCGAAACACACTTTTGCTACATATCTATCAACTTAGTTGCATAATTAGATCAAGGTTAGAAGATTACCAAATATACTTTTGTTAGTAACTTTTCGTCATTTGATTATTACGCTCTTACAATTAGGAACTTTAGGCATAACTAGCCTAAAAAACGTAATACTGAAATTAAAGCTGAAAACATGGCAGGTTCATTTGCATATTTAGTGTGGCCTCATCACACCTGCTATTCACCCTGACCCTTTCTCTCTCGATCGGCTAAACCAACTCGGATCTACCTCATGGTCCCGTAGATCCGTTCTTTATTTCCTGCCAAGTATGAAAGTATCACGAGAATGACAAATGTTTAAATATTTAAGTCCCTATAGATGAATTCCTTTATATTTCCATCCATCAGCTCACCTTCATGCCAGTCAAAAGGAAGCCGACCTCCTCACGCCATAGATATTTGGACTTCTCTGTATTAATCTTAGAAATGGATGCATCAGGCGTATAAGTAATGGGGCCTATTTTAAGATCACATGCGTTCGGCAGCTGTAGTTCCGCAAGAATGTCCTGCATGCAGAAGAAGAAGTCTGTTGCGAATATTATATCAAATAAGGTAAAGAAGTAGAATTTATAAATATGTAGATATGTAGAGAAACTGGGTTTCGATGAATCTCTTGAGATAATATGGTTAGGGGGACTTTCAGTTCGTATGAAAGTGAATGAAGAAGAGATTCGTTAGTCGATCTCATCTGATGAGGACGGATGAATCTCATTGTACTGCAGCCGTTTGGC